TTTGGCATTTTTGGGGCTAATTACTGTGATCTGATTGCAACAGAGAAAATCACTGGGAAATCTCTGTAGACTGATGGCATTTCATGCTGTTCAGCCTTATAATCTTAAAATGTCAACAAAATCACCTGTTTTGTCATCACTTTAGACATTCTGCTAGAGAATCATCCAACCACTAGCTCTAAAGTGACGGTTATAAATTAGTAACGGTTTCTGTTGTTCTGACGTCAGCTGCAGATGTTAATGAATGCCGTTAGAAAGTACTTCCTCATACAAAAGGATTTTTAGACTCTCTCGGTTTGACTTTGTTTTTTATATACATAATTATGTCGCCTAACTGTTGTGTAAACGCAATATCACACTCTTAGTAGTGTGATGTGGCTGTATATTGTCACATGGTTGTATATCTACTTATGGTTCAGTATGTATTCAAATAAAATGCTTAAGCAAAATAAAGAAAGAAAAAGCTTAAATGCACCCTTTTTACATCTTGACTCAACAGACTCAACCAATTACAGCAGGGAAAATAAGTATTGAACATGTCATTTTTGTTTTTTGTTTTTTCCTGGGAATACTGTTGACATGGGATTGAAACAGATTTTGATAAAACAAAATTAGCTCATTGCTGAAATGTCCACCCTGGTTTCATCTTTATCATTCCCTAATGTAGATGTTAGACTGAAGCAGCTAATAATTATTTACAATGATAAAGAGCAGAGGGTTGCTGAACTACTGAGAGATTTCAGCTGCTGTCTGGGCTTTCACTGCCATTCTACACCTCCCTTTCTTCATGTGTTTAACCTTTTCCCTGCGTCACTTCATTTTATTATGCATAACTTGATTTGTAAACTAAATAAATTTGCTTATAATCTTAATAATCTTAATAAATGAGTACTTTTAGGGTATTGATTACTCCTTTTTACATTATGTGTGCATTATCAAGACAACAATGCATTTTTATTAATATTCATTTCCTAAGAGCTCCGTTATCAGCCATATTGTGGTGAGTAAAACTTCATTCTAATATATATATATAATCCATCATGTGGGTACTTGTATACACAGTATATACAGTGTGTAGATCCTTACACAGCTATATTCCAGCTTTGCTAATTGCTACAGACACCACAAAATAATTTCTTTCTTCTTGCGAATAGCCAAAACAATACTGTATAAGAGACTGACTGAGAGTACTGACTGCATGACAGAATGAGTCCTGAAACCTTTAAACTCTCATCTCTTCACTTTGACAAAACATAAGAAATAAATAACCTAGCGGCTCACAGCAGCAGTCGTACCTGACATTCTTAGGTGACAGGTAACGTCAGACTGTGTGTGTGTGTGTGTGTACAAACACAAACATTTGAGCATCTGATGAAAAGTGAGCATTCTGTCATGCATAAATAGCGATCCTGTGACATGCTGCTTGACATGCCTGCGGAAATTTAGCATATAAAATGCACGGCTGCTTTTGAATATTTCACAAGGGTATACAACACATATTTTTTCCTCTCAGCTAGAGTGTCAAGTGTATACAGCACTTTTGAATTTAAAAAAAAAAAGTACTGGGAATATATTCATAGAGAATATGATTGTCTTCGGAATGAGAGCGGTAAATCAATAATACAATGAATCCCCGCAATTTCCAAAGCTTATTTTCATCCATAAGAAAAGCTTATACAAAGTATTGAACACGGAATAAAAAACAGTTCATTTCCAGGTGAGTGTTATTTCTCGGTGTAATGTATTTATCTGTGAATAAAAGATGAGGAAGTGTGCTTTAAAAAGTAGATTATGAGCTTATGTTTGTAAAATGTGATTCGCGTAGCAGTGTACTCAGATAAAACGCGTGTGCATGCATAACTCTTTACATATTGATAACTCGAACATTGCTGCACACAACACAATCATTATGAAACATGAAAATCTAATAAAAGCATCATATGGGTATAATGAAGCAACAAAATAACAGGATGATCTGGGAGATAGTTAATCTACTCCAGTCTAATTTGATTTCAAAATGTTTTCTAGGACAGGAAACACACTCCAAAGTAGGGGATTTCAAAAATTTGATGCCAAAAATCCCTAAATATGATAATACAAAAGGATTTCACACAAAACAAAAATGAAAAACAGCTATACCTGTTTACATTCATATACAGTATTAACAATTTATAGTAAAAAAAAAAAAATTACAAATCAAAATTTGAGAACAACTTTATCCCGCAATGAGGGGAATGGTTACAGGTATGGTTTGGAGTCATGCCTCCTTTTAAAAGTTGAATGTTTTCATAAAAAATAAGTAATGTGAATTCATACAAATTAGCCACTATTCTGATTACCCAAAATAGTTCAAGTTTCTTTATGAGATCTTGTGAAAACAGTGAACAATGAAATGGACAGCCCACGGTCCTGATCTAAACCTGATTAAAAATCTTTGGTAAATTTTTGTTGATAGATGTATGGGTAAAAACCTCTACAGTCAGTAAACTTTGAAAGAAACTGGAGAGACTAGTGATGTCCCACGAGAAACTAGTGAAGTCCTGTAAGATACTAGCGATTTTGCTATGAAGTATGAATCTGTACAAATTAGCCACTTTTCTAATTACCCAAAATAGTTCAAGTTTCTTTGTGAGATCTTGTGAAAATAGTGAGTAATGAAATGGACAGCCCACAGTACTGATCTAAACCTGATTAAAAATCTATGGAAAATTATTGTCATTTAATATATGGGTTAAAAAACACTACAGTCAGAAAATTTTGGAAAATACTAGAGAGACTTGTGATGTCCCATGAGAAACTAGTGAAGTCCTGTTAGAGACTAGTGATTTAAGTATGAAGTATGATTACAAATTAGCCACTTTTCTGATTACACAAAATACTTCAAGATTCTTTATGAGATCTTGTGAAAACAGTGAATAATGAAATGGACAGCCCACAGGCCTGATTTAAACCAGATTAAAACTCTCTGGTAATGTCTTGGCAATACATTTATGTCTAAAAAAAACACTACATTCAGTGAACTTTGGAAGAAATTGGAGAGACTAGTGAAGTCCCATGAGAAACTAGTGAAGTCCTGTAAGAGACTGATGATTTTAGTATGAAGTATGAATTACTACAAATTAGCCACTTTTCTGATTACCCAAAATACTTCAAGTTTCTTTATGAGATCTTGTAAAAACAGTGAACAATGAAATGGACAGCCCACAGTCCTGATCTAAACCTGATTGTAAATCTCTGGAAGAAACTGGAGAGACTAGTGATGTCTCATGAGAAACTAGTGAAGTCTTGTGAGATACTAGTAATTTTTTGTAGCCGCAAATGTGCCGACATCATTCAAACAAAAGCCTGCACATTTCCTATTCATTAATTTGCCTGCTGTAACCTCCAGAAACACCAGTAGTTTCTTCATACAACAATCATTGCCGTTCTCTTATTTTAATCACTATTTTCCACAAAATAATGATTCATCAAAAGATTTCACCTGGAGTATAATATGTTACTATTACCAAACAGGATTTAGCTTTTTTCAAAGTAATTTCTGCGGACCCCTTTAAATGAAAGTAAAGCAGTTAGTGCAGAGTAGTATAATACAGAAAGTGGAACAAAGCACAACAAACACAATTTCATGCATTAGGTTCAATTTGGCTATCCAGTCTGTATGGTCAATCCAATTATTTCTACTGTATCTGTTCACCTAAGAGAAAGCAAGCAAACCCATGACATCAGACACTGCTGTATTCCAAGATGGCACCACCTTTCCACTAAAAGCTACAGTAAAACATAAAATTTACTTCAAAATGCCTACATTATTTGCGTTTGTTTTATTTTTATTTTTTCAATAAAGTGGAAATCAATTAGAAGAGTGAAGTGTGAACTTTACTAACTGCTTTACTCCCACTTCAACATCTCTTTGAAGCCTTTAATTTGAAAACGTTCTTAGGCAAATATGCTATTGCTCCATCAATGCACAGCACATATAAGATTCTGTTGAACATTTGCATGTGTTCTTGAGTCACTGGCAGCAGCAAATCTCATTACTCATGGGAACACATTATCTCCAAATGCCAGGTAGCTCGCTGTAAACATTCACAGTTTAACTAGCGTGCTCAGCAAGACTCTTGCTCTGCCTTGAAAAAAGTTTAACCGAACAGAAACCAACTCTAGGAAAGCATATTAAAGGAATAGTTCTTCCAAAAATGAAAATTCTGTTATTATTTACTAATTCTCACTTGTTTTAAACCCGATGCTGTCTTCTGTTGAACACAAAGCTGTTGACATCCATGGCTTGTTGTTTTTACTACGTTCCTCAGAACACCTTGTTTTGTGTTCAACAAAAGAAAAAGAAATCATAAAATTTTAAAGGAACCACTTTTGGGTGATCTATCCCAGGGGTGTCAAACTCCTGGAGGGTCACAGCCCTGCACAGTTTAGTTTCAACCCTGCTTCAATACACTTACCTGGAGGTTTAAAATAAGCCTGAAGGACTCAATTAGTTTGATCACGTGTGTATAAAGCTAAACTGTGCAGAGCTGCGGCCCCCCCAGGAACCGAGGTTGACACCTTTAAAATGAATTCCCACTACGGCCCCCCTTGTGGCAATCCTCTAATACCAAAATTACAGCTCCAGTAACAAGAAGCATATGAGATCACTTGAAGACCAAATAAAACCCAATCAAAATCCATCAATGGCTTTCACATGAGCTTTAACAGATGACCACGGCAGAATGAAGAAGAAGACATCGTCGGTGACACTTTAAACTACGTGAGCAGTGAAAATAAAAAAAGGTCGTAAATATAAAGAAAGGCTCATTTAGCCAAGGTGCAACGGGACACCTTTCGCCATTTAATCAGTCATTCACCCAAGAGTGATGTCCCTAATATCATGATTCCACCATTTCTCTGTTTAACATAATTAAAATGTCCGCTGCCGGGGCCATAAACGGGAGGAGAGGATACTGTAATTCTGCCGTAAAGCCGCAGAGCGTGAAAATGTCACTTACCGAGTACCCTCGTCCTGACAGAGAATGAGTGGAGCTCTGGGGGAGAGAGAGAGAAAGAGAGACAGAGAGGAGGAGACAAAGAGAGAGAGAACAACGTTGACCTTTAAGGGATACTGTGAGATGTCAGAGACATGATGAAGTTCTAGCACTTTAATATCAATATTCACATTAACCTTTTTCCCACCCTTCATTCCCATCGCTCGCCTAATGACATTCTGTATTCCCCTCACTCTCTCCATCTCTCTCTCTCTCTCTCTTTAAAATTTGCTAGAACAGATGACTCATATGACTCAAGCAGAACGCACCCCAGGACTAATCAGAAGTCTGGTTGCCCAAGGCCTTTCCTCATCACCGGGACCTTGGAATTATCTTAACTGAAAGAGCTTTTTGCAGCTGTTTTCAGAGTTAGACTTTTTTGGTGCTTTTCCCATGTGATTGCTATGGTGATCTGGTAAGTAGAATGTTCCTATGTGCCTAGAATTTTGTTAGGATGCTGCTATAGAGTTCTGGGTGGGTGCTTGCTTGCCTGGTACCTTAATACATTCCTAAACCTTAATATTCTGGTAACTGACACACTTTTTTTAAAAGAGCTTATATAATTTTATCACTAATTTAGGCCATGTCCACATGTACACCGGTATTTTTTTTATAAATGTTTCCTCCACCAGTACGTAAAAAAATTGTAGTCATGCAGAACCAACAGGGGGCAGTAAAAGCATTTTACGCTGAGTGGCATCAAATGCGGAATTAAGGATTCATAAAAGTAAATTAAACAAAAAGTTAATGCACTGAACAGTGGCGAATTACCTAGTGGTGTGAACTGCATGGAATACACAACATGGAATGACGCAGTTGCTGCAAATGCATAAACTTTGCCTTAATTGGCTTTTGTGTGAACGCAGCATTAGAATAAAATTGTACTGGCCAATCAGAAAGGAGACATGGTCCACGTTGACGTCATGAGGCAAAAAAATCTGGTTTTAGTGATCAAATGACCCCACTGCGACAGGAAAATCTTCATCCTGACCAGAGTTTTCAGTAATTTTAGGAATAAAGACTCATTCACACTACAAGTGACTCGCAGCGGCACAGTGACAAGCGACCATTCATTTCAATGGAGAGTAAGCAAATTCCAGCGACCTCTGTCTATTCTGTGGTTAGAGTGCCGACATATGGTGCACTAGCATGTCAGGGCGTCCCAAGTTCAAATCACGGCTCGAGGACATTTCTCTACCAAACCCCCCTCTCTCTCCAACTTCGCTTCCCTTCTCAATACTGTCCTGTCTAATAAAGGCAAAAAAAAAGCCAAAAATAAATCTTTAAAAAAAGTTGAGAATCCTTCAACTTTATGCAAATGAATTATATCATTGTTGCGTCATTATTACAAAAAAAACTAAATAACCACTTATGCGATGTATTTCTAATGCATTGTCTATTTTCTTTCTATATTTCTTTCTTTTATTATTTCAGCAAATAAGATGGTAACAAAATATATGTCGTACTCTCCGATTGACTGTGCTCTAAGTTTACCCAACCATGACGCCTTACGCTACTAAGAAACCCAGAAATATGAAATCAATGCTTATCATTTCCCTATTCATCAAGCCCCTGATCACATAACAATAACATTACAAGAAGATGACAGGCCAGGCCTGAAAACTAAACTACAACAGGAACACGGAAATGTAAGCTTTGCTCACATTGTTGTCGAGCAGTATTGTGTGGATGGAAATATTTTCAGAAAAGCTACTGTAGTTGAAACGCTAGTGTGGACAAGAATTGTTTATTCTCTAAAATGCCATTTTTAAAAAAGAAAATGCATTAGTGTAACGGAATCATTGCGTTATTTATGTAGAACAAAAACGAGTGCTATGCAGTATTCTTTTTTTTAAAACCTTTTCATGTGTTTGCTTTGGTGTTCTATGTGGTTGCTAGGGTGGTATAGATCATGGCTAGGGGCTTCTGAGTGGTCACTATGATGTTGCTATGTCAGCCTGATCTTTTGAGGAAACGGAAGTATTTTACACTTTGTCAGTTTAGTGGATTATTCATATGAATTTGTACGAGTTCAGTCGTACAAAAATGTACGATTTTAAAAAGGACGCACTCAACCCCACCCCTAACCCCAACTGTCATTGGGTAATAAGCAAATCGTACTAAATTGTATGAATTAGATCGTACAATTCGTAAAGAGTTACGAATTGCAGTGAGATTGCGTTGGCTATGTGGATGCTGCAGTGATTCAACTGGTTGCTTTGTAATCTGGGCTGCGTTTCCAAAAAGCATTGTTAGCCAATTAATGTTGCAAGTTCTGTTGTTACAAACATAGCTTGTTGATTTGGTGTTTCCCAAATCCATCGTTCCAACAAACATTAAGTAAACGGCATTGCAAACTTGTTCGTTCGCAACTAGACCTCTAGACCTGCTGTGTTCTAATCCCAGTTATCCCCCCTAAACCCTATTAATTTAGAACATTCCAACATATAAACTCAAAATGAAGAAAGACAATGATAAAATATTTCAATTAATATGGAAAACGAGTTCATGTTTTTACCAAAACTAATATTGGATTTTTTTAAACGTGTGCATGTAAAACAATAATTTGCACAAAAAAACATTACAGGGATTTTCTCTAAAGAAGTTGCTACTCCACCCCGTTTAGAGCAACCTAATGGACGTTTACGTTATAACTTGCGTGGTTCAAACAATGGATCTGTGACAGAACAACTGTGGTTTTGGGAAACACTCGTCACTACATCGTTTATTTCCCAAACGATGCATCGCACCATAATAGTTCAGCCGTGAGTTATGTCGTTGTTTAAAAAAATACACCCCTGGTTGGTAGGTGAATTAGTTTCCACAACAATAATGCTTTTCTTTCACTGCCAACAGCACTTTTCTCTCCAAAAAGTTAAAATTATACAATTACTAAAGATCATTCAATCCTAAATTGTTGCTAAGGAGTTCCTATGCAGTTGTTTTCAGAGATTTATTAGTTTTGATGTCTTGCAGTGTGACTGACATGGTGGTTAGGGACTTCTGAATGGATGCTTGGATGTTGCTATGTGGTTGCTCGGCTGATATAGTAAATGGCTAGAGATGTCTGCTTGGTGGTTGCTAGCTAATCTGATTGGTAGTTGGTTTGAGTCCCACCTTAATAAACACATTTTCAAAAACATACATTATATATTCAATAATAAAAGAGTGAACAAATCCCTAACCTAATGAGCAACTATTGCCTAATAATAAAGCGATAACATTGATACAACATGCTTCACGAACAAATGCCTAATCCAATAAGCATCAACGTGCTAATAATAAAGAGATAGTATTGATACAGCATGCTTCACGAACAAATTACTAACCTAATAAGCATCAATATGCTAATAATAAAGCAATAGTATTGATACAACATGCTTCACGAACAAATTACTAGTCTAATGAGCAACTATTGCCTAATAATAAAGCGATAACATTGATACAACATGCTTCATTTAAGTTGTACATTGCATTCAACTTAACATTCAGCCATTAATTCAGCACCAGAAAGAGCAGCCAGATGATTTTTCTATATCAGGTTACATCATTTTCCAGAACTGTGTCATAGATTGTCATCACAAAGGAAATGACATTTCAGATCAGACCCAAGACACTCAGCGTTTGCATCCATTTTCCATGCCATTGCATCAGCCCTTGTCAGTTTATGGCAAATGAGGAGGAACGAAAGCATTTTATTTGGCTGTGACGGATTCCTTGTCAGATTCAGATTCATATAGAGGCCGTTAAAACAGCTAAGGGCTGTCTGAGCAAGTCATCAACAACTAGAAGTTACATGGCATGCTGAAGGTAGCTTAAGACTTCTGCAAGTCAAAACAAGGGAAACAATTCAACATTCAAAACTCATAATATTCACTGCATAAATCACCTCATAACTATAGACAGTTAACATTGGTGGCTTAAATGTAAATAGTTATAAATTGCAAGGAATGCAAAGGCAATAAATTTACTTTCCGAAAGTTACTAAATTTCTAATGCCATCCTGCCACCATTATCATGACAGCTAGGCTATAACTACACTGCCTTACGCAATACCACAGTTTTGAGAAGTTGCATGAGAAGAAAATCTTATTACAAATAACACAGTCATTGGGACTGATTATTTTTCTGGCAATCATTCCAGGGTAGGCGCACACTTCTAAAAGACCAGATTTTTCTGACTGGATTACTATTGCAATTAATTCTTATAAAAAAAAATAATAAATAAATAAATAAATATACATATATATATATGTACACAATATATTGTTGCAGCATTGATATCACAATGTACTGTAAACATTCGCAATAGTCACATCCAGGGCTTTACATTAACTTTTTCGATCACCTAGTAGATTTCCAACATTACTAGCCACTCGAAATTTTCACTAGCCACAATTTTGTTGTTGGGAAAATATATTTTATATGCATAAAGTTGACTTTGACATGCTAAAATAACTTGATTTAGACTGTGTCTTATGTCCACATGCCTCCTCTTTCATTTCACTTCTTGTGTGTTGTGTGTGAGCTTGCTCTATGTGCATGAGCAAATGGGTTGTGTTGCATTGCAGTTAGTTTTTATTTTACATGATTTTTCAGGGCTCAAAATTTCTTAGCCACAAATTTTAAATAATGTGTCAAAACAAGCAAAATATAACTGTATACATTCATTCATTCATTTTCTTGTCGGCTTAGTCCCTTTATCAATTCGGGGTTGCCACAGCGGAATGAACAGCCAACTTATTCGGCAAGTTTTTACGCAGCGGATGCCCTTCCAGCCGCAACCCATCTCTGGGAAACATCCACACACACATTCACACACACACACACACACACTCATACACTGCGGACAATTTAGCCTACCCAATTCACCTGTACCGCATGTCTTTGGACTGTGGGGGAAACCGGAGCACCCGGAGGAAACCCTCGCGGAGGCGGAGAGAACATGCAAACTCCACACAGAAATGCCAACTAAGCCGAGGTTTGAACCAGCGACCCAG